AGCAGCAGAAGCAGCTGAGCTGCAACGAGCCCATCCTCTCTAATCGCTCTGGCGACAAACGAGGGAAGTTCAAGGTGGCTTCTTTCCGCAGCAAGTATGAGCTGGGGGTGCCGGTGGCTGGCACTTGCTACCAGGCGGAGTGGGATGACTACGTGCCGAAGCTCTATGAGCAGCTGTCGGGGAAGTAGGGTAGAGGGGACGTGAAGCAGCACTGTGCAGCACCTCCTGCGCCCCTGGGGGCCGGGCCGGTCAGAACACGTCACTGTTGTTTTTGTTTGATTAGTGAGTTGAACCCAACTGCTCCCGCACTTACCGCTGGAACCGTAACCTTGTCACTGTCCCTGGCCTGAACCCGCGTCCGTGTCGGTGTGGTCCAGACCTGTCCTGTGCTTCAGCTGACTCCCGTAGGTACAGGTGATCGTGAGCTAGGCGAGCTTCTGACAAGGTGTCCCTGTAAGGGCCACCCCCTCCAGACTGACCTGCTTAAGGGAACCAAAGCCTTTGCGAATTAGTGTCACTTCAGAGTGTCTCTGCTGCACTGGAACGGTATCACACAGCAGCGGTGTGGGTACAGAACCACTTCTGGGTTGCTGCTGGCTGCATAGCCCCCCCCTTTCCGGGAGAGGAGGTGGCAGTCTAAGGGAAACTCGCCCCTTTTTTAATTTTGTTTTTACCCTCAAGTATTTGGCCAGTGCCTCCACTTCACCGAAGTGAACCACTAAAGCAGTGAAGGAACAGCTGGTAGGAGGAGGCAGGGAAGCTGGTTTGTAGCACTACCTTCTGCTCTCTGTTGCCACTCAAAGCTGAGAAACCACTTCGTTTTGTTCAAGTTTTCTGTTGTGACCTGATGTTAACGTGCTGTTTGCTCACAGTGCAATTAAAAACTTAACCAAGGTGGATGGTGTGGTTGTCTTCTTGGGGGAAGAGGTGAGGGCTTACAGGAGCGGCTTGCTGTCAGCGGGTTCCTTTCCCCGCTCCTGGTGTAAAGAGGCTCGACCCTCCGACAGGAGCTCCCCGAAACGCTCCTTGCCTCTGCACCCAGAGCCTAGGGCTGAGTCCGTCCTGTGCCTTGGCCAGCTCTTACCGAGCCTGACACCCCCCCGCAGGCAGTGGGGCCAGTCCCTGCCTGACCCCTGCTGCTCCCTGGAGACCCCCTTCCCTCTGCCCAGCAGGAGCCCGCCCTGCCGCAGCTGAACCCCGACAGCAGATTTCAGCTCCTGTGAGAAGCACCACCAGCCTCACGGACCTGAAGCCACTTCCCAGCCAAGCCTCAGGTTCCCAGTTGTTTCCCCCATCCTCTACCAGCTCACGGTGAGGCCTGGTGGCGTCTGCTAAGCACTCAGGGCAGAAAATGAACCTTTGGTCCAGTGTGACATCTTAAAAAAGATGAAGCCAATGTAATTCTACTTCATGGAACTAGAAGCCTTCCCCCTTTTTTTCCCCAAGATTTCCTTTCCCAGAGGTCTGCACCCAGGTGCTCTCAGAAAGGGGCATCAAAAACCTCAACATGCTGCAGCGAGGCCCTGCACATCAGAGTGACTCTGGAACCAGGAATGGAGGTTTCTGCCCTGAGGTAGTTTTTCAACCCAGCCATTGAAACCTTCAGGCGTTTAAACAGGATGGAGGGTTTTTCAGGAAAACACCCCCAGCTGCTCAAGGCCAAGATCCACAAGACCGAGCGCATCAGGTGGGCAGAGCTGTGCTTTACCAGCCGTCATGACCCATCCTAGGGTGTCTCGGGGCTGGAAGCAGGACAAAAACCAAGCCACAACCCATTAGCCTAAAAAAGCTCCACTGTCAGGGACACCGGTTTGGAAGAAAGCCCCCGGGGTTGCTGCCAGCAGCGCAGCCCCAGGCTGAAGGATGGGTTTCAGGGACATCGTATCCCTTCCTGTGCCTACAAGAGGTGGGAGCGGAATGGGAACGGGTCACCCCCCTGTCCCCACCGCCAGACGGGCCACCAGCCGCTCCTCCCACAATGAGACAGCGAGGCGTTGTGATGAACACTTTTATTTACAAATATAATTAAAAGCTCTGACAGTTATTCATGCTCTTCCTTGGAACCTGAAAAATGTTTTTGTTGTTTTGTTGGTTTTTTGTTGTTTTTTTTTTTTTTTTAAAGTGCATGCAAAAGAAGTAAAGCCTTTTTTTTTTATCTTTTTATTGTAAGAAAATACACAGTTTGAAAGTGTGAATAATGCAATATTTATGACCAAGATCATGGGGTTGGGGGTGGACTTGGGGGAGGAACAAAACAAACAAAAAAAAAAAGAAAGAAAAAAAAAGGAAAAGAAGAAAAAAAAATAAAAAGGGCTGGGGATGATCTGACAGAGTGTTGAACTCCAGGTACCGAACCGGAGAGTGGGCGGGGTGGCTGGGAGCAGCGGGGAGGGGGGCGGAAAGAAGTAAAAAAATTTTTGATCAGAGAAACAGTTAAAATACAATATGAAAATAAGTAAAAGCTCTCCTTAAATTCCTTCTATACACAAAATACACGATTTGACAAAGCCCAATTTGTGCTACCGGGATCCTGTGGGCTCATTTAAGTGTATTCACATTCTCTGCGACAGCAGAAAATGATTATGATACAATCAAGAATACGCCGAGGGCCGAGGGCTCATCCCCGCCGGGCCTGGCATGGTTCTTCTAAAAATCACCAGATCTTCGCCCCGCCCCGCCCCACCCCCAAAAAAGTAATAATATGTCACCACTGATATGTACATCACGATTAAGGTTTTTTTTTTCTTTTTTTTCTGTAAAATGTATCAAATTTTTCAATCTTTAATAAAATTTTTATTATTATTATTTAATTATTCCTGATGAATAAATACCAAAAAAATAAAAATAAAATAAAATTATGCAGCAGCTAGTTAAGGTAAGGCTGCGGATTTAGTCTCTCTCCCCCTGGGTTTGTATATATCATTTGATTATTATTATTATTATTATTATTTTTTGCTTGTACTTTCATTGATTGGTGGTAAAAATGAGTGATTGCTCAAAAGCAACATACATCCACTTTTTTTTTTTTTCTCCATTAAAATTGTCTCCAAAGTTTTCACTGAAACATTTTTTAATCATCGCACAGAGACATCAATACTGTGACATACTATGGAAAAGACCGCCGGGAGCTGTCCTGCACCGGGACGTGACACGGGGGAAAGGGGGCCCCTGATGGAGTAAGAATATACAGGCACTAGTCCGACACGATGTCAGTAAGAGAGACAGAAAGAGAGAGAGCACGCCCGTTAACATGGGGAATGTTGGTTTTGCAAGTTTTATCATTCTTTTGTTTGCTTTTTGTCTTTTTTTTTGTTTTGTTTGTTTGTTTTTAAATGGCAAAGAAATTGAATCTCATCTATAGTCCTCCTTGGGATATTCTAACGTGACCAAATTCCCAAAGCCCATTCGCAAGCTCTCCATGTCAAACGTTTCGATCTCTCGCTCCTGCCTTTCCAACAGAAACTTTATCCTCTCGCTGCGCTCCTTCTGCAGGGCGGCTAGCTCCTCTTCGATCTGAAAGAATCGCAGTCAGCAGAGCACAACTGCCTACCCCAGCTCCCGACGCACGGTGCAGACCCCGCGCCAAGATCCAACATGGGTAACCCCGCCGGCACACCCGAAACGTACCTTTTGTTCAAGGTGCGCCCTGCGCAGCGACACCCGTTGCTCCAGCTTCTGGAGTTCCCTTTCGTGCTGTGCTTCTGTCTGCATCTTAATTTTGCTCTGGTACGCGTTGAGCAGCTCCATCTCCTGCTGGAGTTGCAGTCTCAGGGCTTGGCATTCCGCTTCTTGGGCCTCATCCAGCCGCAGCTGTAAGACCATGGGGA